TAAAAACTTGGTATATTGAAACTGTTCATGGAACAATAAAATCTGTGAATGTTTTGTTATGAGCCAGTTCAGTATAAATCTGCATCTGCCAACGGTTCTGTATTGGTTCGTGCAGTTGTTGTTTGGTCCCTAGTACAATCATTCTTTCCTAAGGGCAAAGCTGCATGGCTGGATTACATCTCCCAGGATGCACCACAGTCATATGGCTCCCATAAGGCACCATGTAGCTCAGAGGGAGACAGCAATGTATTGTGGGAGATGTAGTGTCTGGCCAATAATAGAGAATGAGACCATAAAACACTCTGGCTACATATACACTGCAAGTATTTGTCAGCAGAGAGGTTTTTGCACAAAAACAAGTAGTGTAGACAGGTCCATTTTGCACAAAAATAACTTTTTGCGCAAGATCCCTTATGCCTCAAAAAAGGAGGTATACAGGATCTTGTGCAAAAGGGGGGGGGCTTTTGCACAAAACAAACCCATCTACACTGCTTGTTTTTGCGCAAAAACCTCTTGCGCAAAAAGCATCGGCAGAGATATGCAAATTACAGCACGACAAATGCTAATGAGTGCTTCATTAGCGTAGGCTGTGACGACAAATACCTGCAGTGTAGATGTAGCCTATTGGACTACAGCTCCCAGGAGGCACCGTGGCATATAAAATTTATTGTCAGACTGACTTGAAACAAAATGTTTCAATTTGGGTCAAAATGACCTGAAACAAAATATTTTGTTTTGATTTCAGCAAAAGTAAAAATTTCAGTGTTGCAGAAACTGCAAAAAAAAAGTAAAGAAAATTACCAATTAGTTCTAATAATCTGAGTCAATTGACTCCTTTTTATCCTTCTCCCTCACCATACATCCTCTAGAGCAGTGTTTCTTAAACTTTTTAAGACTGAGGAACACCAAACAATGGTTTTTTTTAATGAGGAACACCAAGGATTTTTTGTTGAGCAAAAAAAAAAGGAGGGGGAGGGGAAAAATTATTGAACCCAAAAAAAGAGTTAGGGGGGAAATTTTGGGGGGGGGGAGGTCGCCTGCCCCTTTAAGGGTGGCCATTTTGAACTCTGTTGTTCTCCGTGGCACATGGAACACAGTTTAAGAAACATTGCTCTTGAGTCTAGACAATTCCTGTAACTTCTTGAACATTTTTAAAATTTGGCATTTTTCTGCATCACCCCCATTAAGACATTAGTTTACACCACGACACACTGTTCTCTGAACTGTCCCTGTCCTTTTCATCTGCCTGTCTCCCAGTCTGTCTAGAATTCTGCAGCTAAAGTAATCATCTGCACTTTCTGCAGCTGTCCAGTTAGTGTGCTGAATAATCATTATCTAAAGTCTTCCATAATTTTTTGCATCTTAGGGAAAACCCATCCTTGGTAATTGTCTTTGATATTACCTATACATTGTGGGCAACACAACAAATGACCAAGTCGAATCCTAAACATATGGCTTAAGAATCGTGAAGGAAGAAAAGGCATTTAATTTTATGAAGTTAGAACACATTTTGGGGTACCTGGAACCCCTAGAAGAGCAACCAGTTTAATCTGAGCAATGGAGTAATATGCTTGCTGAAACAGTACTGAGAATCATACTAAGGAGATTTTAAAATTAATACTGCAGCAGTGCAGATGTGCATACGTGCCCACGAGAGGAAAAGGTGAAAAGAAAGGACATTGTAGATGTAAATAAAGATAACATGGAAGTGTGTACTTAGTGCCAATGAAATTTAATTTGGGACTCATGTCACTGCAGAGAGTTGACTGAAAAATGATACAGTATTTGTGGTGTTAATAAAAAAGGGAAGAGAAATATAGACAAATGTTTCAGAAATTGAACTAAATATAGATATACTCTCACATATTCAGCTTAGCAAAAATGAACTTTCTTGGCATTCAGAAAAATATAAATGGCTTTTTAGGAGCCTGTTGAAACTAGAAGAGGAAAGGAGCAGGTATAAGGGGAGAGACTACAGAGAACACTTCAAACAGAAAGCAAGCAATTTAAAGTAAGCGTGTAGAGGAAATATAATTAAACATTAAGACAAATAGCACAAGGAGAAATGCCGAGAGGATGATAGAGATACTATGGTTGACAAAATATAAGGGTAATTCATATATCTAGTAGAATGTTGCAGAGCTAGTTATGATATACTCTAGTGGACCACATTTTCAAATGTTTACTACAAAAATGCCAAGTGCAAGCCACATGCCTGCTTGTATAAATCAGGTGATAATGCACACAGTTAGCTGATATAGCCTTACTTATGTCCGTTTTTTCTGTGTAAATTGATGTGCAGTCACTTTTGTGAGCACAGTTCACAGTCCACCTCTTCCATTATTTGGTCCACAAAATTAGGATCTTTTGTGTCTTCCTTCAGTAAAGTATACATACTGGTTTATTGTTTAATGGCACATGGATCCCTCTCGCTCTTTTTCTCGCTCTTTTTCCATTATCATTCTTAGGCTCCAGGTATGATCTCAAATTTCCCAAGCCATCCTGTTATGTTCTTATTTTATACTTATAGTCCCCTTACTAAAGGGGCCTCTGGTTTATTCTGAAAAGACCCTGTGTGCTACAATCCAGACTACAATTCCCATGAGCCCTTGGGAAAAAACAGGAAGGAAGGACTCTAGGGAGAGAGGTCTACTCTCTCCATGTGCTTGAAGAAGAGGCCTAGCAGTCTGGGACTCTGCCTTGGAGTTTGGAACCAGAGGGGGAGCCAGGCTGCTGCCAAGGACATTGACCCAGTGCAGGGGCTGTTGGAGTATAGCTACTGGATGCCTTGTTGGAAAAGTGCTGCCTGGGCCCAAAACTTACTGCCTCATGCTGTGCCTATAGGAAGCAGCCTGCTAACTCCCAGTTCCAACAGGCATCCAGTAGCTACACTCCAACAACCCCTGCATTGGGTCAATGTCCTTGGCAGCAGCCTGGCTCCCCCTCTGGTTCCAAACTCCAAGGCAGAGTCCCAGACTGCTAGGCCTCTTCTTCAAGCACATGGAAAGAGCAGTCCTCTCTCCCTAGAGTCCTTCCTTCCTGTTTTTTCCCAAGGGCTCATGGGAATTGTAGTCTGGATTGTAGCACACAGGGTCTTTTCAGAATAAACCAGAGGCCCCTTTAGTAAGGGGACTACATACTATTCATCTGGCCTTTGGCCAACATCTCATACAGCCTTACAAATTTGATGTAAGTTGATTGTCACTGTCTTCTAATGAGCTTATCAGGCACATTGTCATGAATAGAAGAAGAGCTTTCCCTTTTTTGATCTTACAGTATTTTCATTCTTAGTCATCATCTGGAGTAATTGTTCAATGGCAGCAAGAAATTCTGTACAGTTTATTAAATTAGATACTTCACTTGATTGATTGTGGAGATTCAGTATATATACTTGTCTGATGAGATAGTTGGAATTTTTGACATGCATGATTACCACAGCAGATATAATACAGTGAGCATAATTTACAGGTATCTTCATTTCAGAAATTACAAGAAATATTCTGTGAGAAAATATATATACATGAATTATAAGGCAGATTTAAAACATAAAAAAAAAAAAGAGTTCAAAATGCAAAAAGTAGTAGGTGAAAGGCCCAAGTGGCAGAATTACAGTTTAGTTGCCTTTGATTTACCTTGCAAATAAAGTATCTTAAGGAGCTTATAATTTCAGAAGTGGACACATTTTGCTGTTAGCACAAGTTGAGGGTAGAAGCAGAGCTAACCCAAAGGTACAGTGTAAACCAGCTTACAATGATCAAGATGGACTCCTATTCACTTATAAAAGTGACTCATGAAATTAATCCGAGAGAAGACAATGATACTAAGATCCAAAATACACAGAGTACACCCTCATTTACAAAATGATGTATCTGACTTCCAAACTCACTCAGCAACAATTTCTTTTTGACAGTTAGCAAGCAAAGAATTACAGCTCATCCATTTCATTTTTTCGCCACAGAGAATTAATTTATGCTTTTATAAACTGCTCTGTTATTGTCAATGCTAACCTTGTGTTTCATAAAAGTTCCTGGAAGAAGGCAGATCAAGATCTTAAGCATTGCCCATATTCTCACTTTCCCAACTGATTGTATAATTTCACTGTTTGTGGTGCTTTATTTGAAGCTTTTTCAAAAGTTAAATACATCCAGTTGTCCCAAAAGCGTGGTGAGCATCTAGTTTATCTCAGGGTGCATCTGCACTGCAATGCTATTTCAGGATACCAGAATACCACAAAATAGCTATCCCATGTCTTCACAGCAATCCTGTTATTTCAGGATCACTATTCCAACATCCCTGTAAACCTCATTCTACAAGTAGTAAGGGACGTTTTGGAATAGTGTTTTATTTCAAAATTTGGTGCTGTGTAGACAGCACCAAATGATGAAGTAAGCTATTTTGATATAGCATCAAAATAAGATACACAATTCATGTAGCTCATATTGCGTACCTTATTTCAAGTTATGGTTCAGTGTAGATGCACCCTACAACACCAGATTTGTAATGTGTTAGCAAATGGTTTCACTTCTGTAGCTGTTGAGAGAGCCCCATTTCCCACGGCCCAACACTATTTTCTCTATATCTAAAATATTGTTGTACCTCGACTAAAGGAATTAGAATACAAATCAAGGGAAGAAAAGAGAGCAATTGCAAATGATTCTACAAAATATTTTTCCTTCAATATTTTGGAATGTATAAAATATTGAAAATACATCAAGCAAGTCATGCTGATGCTACAATACAACATTGGTACTCATTATTTAATCAGTGCTGCATATGGTTGTGGTCAGTTCATCAAAGGAAGTAACATTACTGAAATTAAAGATTGAAGCATAAGGATCACCACCTTTCAAAATCAGGCCACTTATTTATGGGACTAAATATGGACACAAGCAGCTAACTTAAGGCTCCCATTTTTAAAAATCTTGGCTGTAGATACCACGCACAAATGATTGTTCTGAGTTTGTTCTTTGCTAATAACCAACTTTCTTTTTCCTCACTAGGGCTTATTTCAAAACGTTTGTCCCTCAGTTCCAAGAGGCAGCTTTTGCGAATGGAAAGCTGTAGGAAACAGTTGGTCTGGAGAAGATGCAGACAGATTCTTACATTCACGTGCATGTGAGCCCCAAGAAGAATTTTTGGAAGTGGGTTGGAATCTTTTTTTTCCCCCCTCTGGAATAGTTTTAATCACCACAGACTTCATTAATTCTATAAAACAAGGACCCCATCTGTCTTATTCTAAACTGAGTATTTGATACCCTTGCAATCCTCTCCTACCACCACCATTTCTTTTTATGGCCACTGGATTAAATTAAAACCTTAGTGTTTAGATGTGATACCGTTTCCCTGTGACAACAATGTCATATGCAATACCTTGTGTCAGAAATCCTTGTCTTTCATGAGTTGTTAAGAAATGAATTTTTTCATACCAGTATTCTGTTGTTCTGAACCTTTGTATATTTTGCTTATCGATTTTCAGGATATCCTAAGAATATATAACATTGCCATATTTTTCAAAAATGTCTAATAGATTATATAATGCCATGTTCTGCCTCTGATATGTGCCTGTATTTATGGTTCTTATTGACATATGTCTGAGTGTGAGTTGCAATATTTAATTACTCACTGCTTTTCAGATGTGTCTTATGTCGGCATGGGAATATTTTTTTAATATTTCAGTTGAAAACTCATCCTGCGTTGAATTCAGTGTCTTTATGTTCTAGTTTACTTCAGGTAATACAATTTAAGGTGGCTTTCTAATTGATATTCATTGCTGTTACCAAGAAAGGTCTATTGCTTTAGCATCAAATGCTCAAGTAACCAGTTGTATAAATTAAGGTAACAAAATAGAGCTCCTGCATAGACCTATATAACTCTGTCAAGTAATGTAAATACAATTAATGAAACAGGCCTTTAGCAAGGAATTATTGGAGTCTTTGAAGGCAACAAGCAATAATTCAGGGGATCAGATTTCTTTAACCTAAGACTTGCAGATACATTCAGCATATATATTTAAAGAATTGATGAACAGACATAATGGAATGCATCCGTTTTTTTCTAGTGCTGTAATGATAAATGAAGAATTCCAGCTACTCATCTTCTCCTTCTTGTGATATATTAGAGCAGGCCATATATAGCTGACTCTTCTGGTGTCACTTCCCAAATTAAGTTGTAGACAGACATGGGTACTTTCCAGGATTGAATAAAATAAAATGTTGTTATAAATGGCATACAGAAAAAGTACCTTCTGCTAAATGTTAGGGAACTGGACTGATGAGCTATGACGAAGACATATTAGTGAAAAGTAATATATCACTGTTTCTGCTAATGTTATTAAATCTGTATACAACTTTTAATTGATTTGCAATATTACCAGAATTTTCATGTAACTTGGGATTTTTAAAGAAAAATATTGTTTACTAGAATCACTGTGTCCAAGGTTACATGTATGATCCTTATAAATGAAATTTTCATAATGAATACATTCTGTTAGTCTAGTTTCCCTGAGAAACTACCAACCTTCTAGCAAATTCTCTTTTTTTTTAAATGACTTTATGCTACCAATGTCTTAGTCATTTAAGAGTTAAAGATCAAGCTGAAGTCAAAACATAGATCTTATTCCAAGTCTAAAGGAAAAAGAGCAGACTGATTTTGTCTCCTTATCCAGTCCCTTATAACTGATTCATAAAGGAGCTATAAACAACCTTCAAAGGGTTGAGGGCAAACTCCTCCCACACAGGTACTACATTATGCTGCTGTATGCAGAACCAAAGCCCTTTGCTATGCTAAGCTAAGCAGGGTTGTTATTAAATATGTCTTTGTTATTCATGCATCTTAGCTGTGGGTGAACAAAATTTACATTAATCTATACATTGAGACAACCGTAAACCTGCACTTCCAAGGTATACATCAGAATTACATATACCAAGAATATTTTCATATATTCTAAGGTTGGGAGCAGCTATAGAAAGACTAGTTTTTTGCTTTATCTCTGACAGGAAATATTTCAAATGTTTCTTTTCTAGTCATGCACAGTAACATCAGCAGCTTGTATACCATGATGTATCTTCACTGTGTTTATTGACTTAGGGACTCTGTGATGAGATCTACTTCTTTAAGAAGATTTGGAAGGTTCACTCAAGAATATCCATCCTTAACATCAATACTATGTATTTTGGATATCAGACTACTCTAGCATTGTGGTCTTTGTGCTCCAGAGCTCTCAAAAGGCACCACTCCTAACCAATCATTTGACATGTTCAAATTCACTAATATTTGTGGCTGTTTAATTGCTTAGGTGAAATGAATTGATGATTTTGGTCCAGTTCCTCATTGGTCAAATGACATTGTTGGCATTATTATTTGCAATGTAATCAGAGAGTCCATGGATTAAAAGGATGATAGAGCTTTACTATTCTAATCTGTAGCCCCTCAAAATCACAATCAAGGCAGGTTGTCCTCCATTGAGAGAAAAATGCTGCTTGGATAAATGGGTAATTTTGCGATCCAGATCTAACATTTTGAAATTTGCATTTTTTTTTAAGTACGGTATTCTAATCCTAGCTGGTATGAACATTTGCTTTTCCCCATCTGTAAAATAGAAATATTAACTTCATTTGAAAAGCTCTGTGAGATCTAGTGATGAAGAGCACTCTATAAGAACTATGTGGTACAGTTATTAATAATTCCAGAGCAGTGCTCATCAAGTTGTGATCCATGAACTACTAACCATCTATAGTTCCCAATCTGATCATTCACAGAATGATATATTTTGAAAAATAGGCACTGAGAGAATTGGTGTTTTGGGAGGAATGGTAGGGACATGGGAGAATTTCTCTTATAAATTGATAAAGCGGGAGACCCTTATGAGAGAGTTTATCTGACCAGTCTTACATTAATAAGTTATTGGTATTTGTTGAGGTAAGTGAATTTATACATATGGTTCTTACCTATTTGCATAGAACTGAGTGTATATTCTAATTATAACATGCCTTGCAACCAGTTTAATGGGAATAAGAGCATCACTCTTTTGTTCTGAATATGTAGTGTTTAAAAAATATAGAAGCTTGACTCAACTATATAACATATGAGAAGCAACTAAAGTGTGTCAATGAACTGCAGCACTAGTTGCTAAATCAGCCCCTGTCCCTCATACTTCCAAAGCTGGAAAGAATAGAATAAGAATAGGTAGCCTGCTTCAAGCAGCACTCTCTAAGACAAGGCCAAAGGGGTAGGAGAGGGCTGCACAAACAGGTAACTCATGAGTAACATTTCCTTCTTATGTGTGTCCCTCTTCTCTCAATTTATCTGGCAATAGCTTTTACCAACAGCAGATATAACAGGCTATCGACACCTCATGGTAGAGGAGGGAAGACCACTCTTCCAGATTTGGAATCTACTGCAGATATCAAGTCCAACCAATAGTTTCAGAGAAATATGAAAGGGGAGTAGCAGATGGGCTCCTTGGAAATATAAAAAGTACTTTGGCCTGACAGACCTGTGAAGAACACACTCTGTAAGAGGTTGATAAAATTTGGACACAGCTTGAGAATGGTTGTAAATTGACAGGATACAGTCCTTTACCTGTTGGGCAAGAGAAGTCTATGACAAAGCAGATGACCAATGAGCAATCTTTCTATAAATATCTACTGTTTCTTTAATTAACATACAATCACTTCCATTAAATCTAAATATTATTTCAAGCTTTTCAAAATGCTAATGAAAAATCCCTTCACTCACTTTTTTTTTTTTAAAGTTTTAGTTTCTGTTCTCTGTAATATTCCAAGGCAGCCTGGCTTTATCCCCACTGACTAACTGTAGCCAGACACAAACCCCATCTTGTTCCCCCCTCCCCCCCCCCCCCCCCCCCCCGCG